GTTCAGTTAGAGAGAAATTAATATAGAGTCAGAGAGAGATTGGGCCCTCAAGGAAGTCAGCACAAAATAAGGACTGTGGCTGGAAGCACAAGATGGAGATACAATGGCCAGGCTTGCATGCCTCCCTAAGTGGTAAACACCAACTTGAGATTATACTGTAATTAATACCACCTGGTCTAGTAAATTCAGATCGTCACCAGACTCCCAGGTGGGTGATCAGAGAATCTAGACCCATCCTTTCCCCAAAATGCCTCTGTTCCTTTCATGTACCCTTGCTAAATAACCAATTTCTCTACTGGACCAATATTAGTTACATGGGTATACTTGTAATCCTACAGGTTGACTGTAGTTTGACCTACATTGTACCCCCATTGTGACTTTGCTGTATAAGTTAGCCCTGATAAAGGGCCTCAGTAACCACCCACTCAGGACTACTCTTTATTTCCAATAAAACTCCCCTAAGTTTCCCTTTCGATTCATGACTTCATTCTTCGATGTTGTGAGACCATGAATCCAGCACATGTGATGTCTAACAGGTTGGGAGTTATACTTTTCCTGCAGGACTGTGACTTACAGAACGGACAGGGAGAAAGGCATAGGAGCTAACACCCTTTTGGACTGTGCAGCAGTCACACCTGACCCTGCTCCTCTCTTTCCCCTCCATGATAGTTTTATAGAAGTGGGAAAACCGTCTTTTGTGTGAGCCACCATTATTTCAGTTCCTCTTTCTAGATTACATCCATTTGATTTAGCTGGGATAGAAGTGAAGAGATCTAAAATTCTTAGCTTTCTGTTTTTACTCTTGCTTTCCAGCACATTTATCCATTCTCTGGTTCCAACTATTACCCCTGAATTCCAGATTCCCAAGTTTGTTTTCTTCTCATAGCTAACCTCCAAATTTTTAAGTACCTTTAAAACATTTCAATTTGGATGTCACACCATGACATCAAAATTCGTGTCAGTGTTTCTCTTATGGCATTTCTTTGTTGCCCTCAGTTCCTTCAAGATATAATAAATTTTCCCAGTCAGGTTCAAGACTGCAGCAGAAAGTTCTTCATAATGTGTCTCTCCAGTTGCAGAGAATCCTGGGAGGCTCATGAGAAAAGCAGATCCGCAGGCCCACCGAGATCTACTGAGAACCTTCATGAGCCGGCCTATCAAACTTCATTGTCATGAGCCTTCATGAACTGGGATCTGATAAACATTACAGTTAAAAACTTTTGTTTGAGAATCATCTTTTTAAAAAATCTCCCTCTGTCTCCTCTCCAATGTTCACTATATAGTGAAGTCCCACTATGGGGCCTTACATCTTATTCTTCTCCCCTCCCTGCTTCTTAACCACTCCAGAAACCCCTGCCTTGAGGCGTCTCCCCTGGCTGTTCCCCCTGCCTGGAATCTCCTTCCCCTCAGGCCAACGCCCTCACGGCCTCAGGTCAACTTTGCCAACCTCCTTAAAACTGAAATCTTCCCCCCATCCTTACATATCTTTCCTTCTTGTTATTCTTCCAATAGTCTCCCAAATCACAGGCTATAATTTGCTTATGCTGGGTGTTTCTTTTGACCCCTGCCTCACAAGAATGTCAGCACCTACAGCTGCTTCTGTTCCTAGATGTATCCCTGGAAGTACCTGATAGATATCTGTTGGATGATTCCCCCCTTACCAGTCTCACGGCTCCACTCCAGGGCTAATCCTGACCCTGCTGTTCAAAGACTTTCTTGCAATAGAACCTATCCACAGCGCCTTTCCCTCCAAACCATCCAGCAGTCTTCTTGACTGATCTAAGCCAGTGACTGTGGGACATCATTCCCTTACAATGATTTAGCTTCAACTGGTCCTGTCAGTGATTATGTATTGATGTCATATTCAAATAAGAAATTAGATTAGATGAGTTATAAGATCATATTCAAATACTCAATTCTGTATCCAGTGACTCATCTTGGCATTCAAAATGCTCTGTAATCTAGCAGTACTTTCTTTACCTATCCAAATTTATATCAAACTCCCTCCAAGTTTCCCTCTGCTCCTAGCCAATTTCCCTAAGAACTCAAATATGCCATGTTTGCTTCCACCATTTTTTCACGTCATTATGCTGTCATGAACACCTTCCCAGCTACTGAAATAGACGGCAATATTCCTTAAAGACTCACCTGCAGGCGAGCAGCACCCAGCATTATTGTGCGCTTGACACTAATGTAACAACTTGGGCCCCAACCTCAGACCTCCTGAATCAGGATATGCATTTATACACCAATATACTCAAGTAATCCCTTTGTTCCTTGAAGTTAGAAAAGCACTGCATTGCCACAGGGCCTATGCTACCCATAGTAAGCGCAATGCTTAATTAACAACATCCCCTCTTAGATTATTTATTCCCTATTTAAATCCTTTCTCTCCTTAATCTCCAGTTTAAACAATTTATAGGCAAAACAGTCATGCATCTGGACAATTTGGATTCAAGGAACAAAAACCCATTCAAGTGTGTGTGTGTGTGTGTGTGTGTGTGTGTGGTGCTTATTTTAATGCTACTTAGAAACTGCAGACAGAAAACTCAGGGATGGCGGACTCCAAGTCTAACTACCCTCTCTCAGTATCTGCATTTCTGTATCTTCCACCACCTTTCCTGTCTTTTCACTCATAGTTTGCTTCCTTACATAAGCAGGGTTTGCATGACCTAGCACAGCCATACATTGTTTCCTTCACTAGCCTATTCACTCTGCCTTTCTGGATGACTTTCAGTCTCTAATCTTAATGTTTCCTGAGAGAGACAAGGTAGCCTAGAAACTCCTTTTAGCCAAATCACAAGGTTACAAGTATGTGTCACCTATGGATTGGCTGATTTGGGTCAGGAGCCGATAGGCTCCTTGATTGATAAATCAACCAAGGCCAAAGAGACTGCAGTTCAGAGCAAGCTCTCTGGGAAGTAGAAACTCTCAAAGTAGATTATTCCTTAGGTAAAAGAGATACACGGAGAGCAGGCAGTAAGCCACATTACCAGCCCACAGAGTGACTGTCTTCACCATAGTCCCAAGCAAAATGTTGAGTACATAATAAACTGAAATCATTCAGTATGGGAGGGAAGGGTCATGCGCCATGCATCACAATGACCCTGACACTATTGGATACACATGGAGTACAAAGATTAAATAAGGAGTGGCTCCTGTTTCCCCAGAGCTCTAAATCCAAATGTGTCACCAAACTAGCTACTTGACCTTGGGCAGGTTATGAAACCATTCTGGGCCACAGTTTCCTCAACTATCAGACAGTACTATACCTTTGCCAACCTCCAGGAGTGTTGTAAGAGCCCATAAAGTAATCCTTGTGAAATGCTCTAAAAATTGAAAACAATACCGTAGCCTTTCAATACTGATAAAATCATCTCACATGCCACAGATTTTCGCATTGCTTTTAGATTTTTTTCGCTCATCCCTTTTTCCCACAATATACAATTCATCAATTGCTATTACTTGAAAACACCAACTATTACCATTATATTTTCAACAGCATCAACGATTCTCACTATATTTTCACTACCTCTATGGCTTACATGGTGATTAATAAAATTCAGCATTTCACGCAGAAGTGTATAAAAGTGAATACATTTTTCTGGGTACATTTTAAGTATCTACTTGGTTGGGTAAAACTGTAATATTATTTTATAGAAATTTTTTGATATTACAATGACAATAAGTATGTATACTAAATTCCTACATAGGATTCAGGGCTGTTTTTACTTGTGTGGCCCAAAGCAGTTTAATGCTTTCCTCAGTCAGAGGAATCACAAAATCCTGGATATCGGAATCCAGGAACCCTACTTTTACATAAACATACTACAGAAGAAAAATGAAATGCCCTGTTTTAAAGCCCTGGAATCCTACTCTGCTACCTTCTTTCTCTTTTTTTCTTTACCTACTGCCTCATATTAGGGTGGGGAGTAGGCAGGAAGTGTGAGGTTCAGTGATTACGACAAGACAGATGAGCTCTCAAAATGATGTTACCACGCTTTGGAAGGTTCAAGTACAGGAAGTATATGCTCATGGGCATGAAAGACAAAACTCAAGAAATGCACAGTCTTGGCTTTGCCCTGGCTAAAATCAATATACATTTTCTGAGCGCTTGCCACACGCCAGAAAGAACGCGGGTGCTCATCAGCCACGATGAGGGTGCTTTGGTCCTCTGAAAGCTTCCTTGCGTATACTGCCGGGCAGGGCATCTGTTGCTCAATGCCCACAAGTAATGCCATTCAACAGCTGGCCCTGGGTGGAGCAAAGAGCTTCCATCTAGCTCAAGTCAGCTCAGCTGGCAAAAGTGCAGGTTTCAGGCTAAAGGAAAACCCAAAACGAAACCTCAGACCAGAGCCTGGCAAGATTCTGCCGCAGGAGATAGAATGGCAAAGACTGTTACGTACTGTACCCACTGAACAACCAACCCGGATTAAGGCTCCTGGCACTCAGGGAGGCAAATGGACTATCGATCAAAGGATCCTGCAGCCTGGGAAAGGCAACCCCACTTTTCGGGGAGCTGTGATGTGAAGGCTGCGAAAAGGTGGGCGCTGGAGGCGCAGCGGTGGGCTGGCGATCTGATCATCTGGGCGAACACTGAACAGGAACCCGGAGGTTAGAGCGCTAATGCAGAGGCGAGCAAGGCAAGCACGGCCCGTGACAGGGACAGAATGATCACACTGCGGTGTAAAGCAAGCCTTGGGGCTCCAACCCAGGACACCAATTCGGAGGTTCTGGAGCCCAGAAAGGGTTTGCCAGTGCACTGAAGACGGCATCCGGAGAAGGGTCGCCTAGGGACCAGGCGCTAGAGCCAGACTGCTGGAGAAAAGAGGTGGGACGGTGGCTCTTCCCGAATAAACACAAGCGTGTGTGTGTGGGGGGGTGAGTGCGCGCGCGAGCGAGCACACACACACACGCACACTGCCTCCCTCGCGCGCACACCGCCCGACCCCCGCTCCGAGCCGCCCCCGCGCACAGCCCCTGCAGGCGGGGGCACTCACCCTCGGCGCGCGAGCGGATCTCCGACACTGTCCTCCGCATGGGGGGCATCCCGGCAGCCGCCGCAGGTGGGTTCCAGCGCCAACTCGGCACCTGTCACGGCGCCGCAGGGCGGGGACCTGGGTGCGCCGCGCCGAGGGCTCAGCTGCCGCCCGTGCCCCGCGCCACCCAGGGACCGGCACCAGGGCACCGCGCCGACACACTGCACGAGGAGGAAGAGGCGGCGAAGGCGAAGGCGGCGTCCGCAGAGCTGGGCGAGCTCTCCGCAGCCGCGGAGGGGGCGGCTCGGCGGGGCGGAGCCTGGGCGCAGGCGCCGGGGGCGGGGTCTGCAGGGCTTGCTCACTGGCTCTGCCAGGGGCTGACTCGCGGAAGGGGTGGGGAGAGATCGTGGAAAGCCTGCCGCGCCCGCCCCACTTCGGACCGTACCACTCCTGGGGGTGTGGGGGGGATCGGTCACAGCCACCCCAACCCGTCTGCGCTCTCGCTCCGCCCCGAGGTGTCTGCTCACCTAGTCCCTCCCTAAGGCCGGGGAGACTCTCGAGCCTTGACCCAAGGTCAGGAGGCGCGCTGGCTGCGTGTGCAGCTTGTCACCTCCCGCCACCCTTTGCCTTGCAATTGCAAAGGAGCCTCCAGTCTTCTGAAGTGGGCGTTGGGTGGGCAGGCAAGGGAAAGTGGGATGCTCAGGGTTAGGTTCCCCTGGAGCGGAGGAAGCGAGCTGCGAGTTCCTCGCCTGGGTGGAGTTACGCTCCCACACCGGGCTGTGCTTGCTCCTCGCCTTGCCCACTAGCAACAGGCTAGGACACCTGAGGTCCAGAGAGTTGGTGTTTCTCCTGCCGGTAGGCTGGGTCCTTCTAGGCTGGCCTACAAGTGGACCTGAGTGGTCCCAATGTGTTTTACAAGTTCATCACTGCAGCCTGATAAGCCTCTGAAATTGCAAGAATACTAACCTGTTGCCCAGGTGATTCACAAAGGACTTATGTTGCTTTGAGGTTTGTGCTTTTAGTAAAACCTGCAGAAAGTTGGGTGCAGTAATTTCATCGGGAGAGGGGAATGGAGTCTCAGTATAAAAATCTACCTAGATATTAAATTCTATTCTCCATATCCTAGAGAATGTCACATTACCTTTTATTTTGTATGAGACTCCGCTAATAAGTCATCAAAACAAGTGCAGCATTTTTCACTTGTTCCTCATTTCACTTTCAGGTCAGGATGCAAGGTTCGGTGTAGATTCTGGTGAGTTGCTGAACTGACAAGATAGGAAAAACTGAATTAGCAGCAATTTGCTTCTTCCCTTATTTTTGTTCTCTTTCTCCAGCGACCCAGTGGAAGAGGACTTCACATGGAGGTCTTTTACTTAATCTCCTTTCACATCCTGAGGAAGAGGTATGGAGAGGTTTGACCCCGGAAAGAGGTGATTATAACCAAAGTCTTAGGAAAAAATTAAATAAAATCTGCTAATACCATCTTATCTCCGTTCGTGGTATTTCCCCTGTTTCCTGCGGGTAGCATTTGCTAATCAGAGCACTGTCCTACATTAATACCCAGTTGGGAGGTCAATACATATTTATGAGGAGCCTGTCTATGTGGCTGTCATTCAGAATCTGGGATTAGAACAAAGAAAACATATTTCCAGAGTTTGTGGACTGTGTCAGAGTACAGCAGGACTCAAAGACGTCTGCATGTCTTAGTGATGGTCATGGTTTAAAAGTATGGGCTTCTAAAAGTGAAAACTGCATGCTGCCTTATCAAGATTGTCCCTGCTGGCCATTTTTATTTCTTCCAATACCCAGGCTCTTCTGACATAAAACAGATTTCTTCTGCCTTGATGAACATGAGTCTGAAATAAAGTGCTAAGTGCAGTAAGGAAAAAATATGTATATATGAATATATGTGTATATATACAGTATATATCTAAAATAAGCTTTAAATTTAGCAAACAGAAATTGGGGAAAATATAGTGTTTTCTGATTAATTTTTTAGGTGTAATTTTATGTAAAGCTAGAGCTAGTATTAATTTTTATTCAAAACCAGTGCATAGCAGCATGACAGTATTTGAGTATGAGTAATCACCTTTGTAATTCCTAATGGGCCTTCAAATGAGGTTCATTTCTGCTTACTAACAAATGATAATTATCTGAAAGAATTCCAGAGGTTACTTCTGTTTTCTATTGAGCAAGGTCTTTTATATGTGTCCCACTAAAATGCATCAGCAAAGCTGACAGCATAGGCAGTTTATACAGGACATAAAAAAAGTTTTTCATACAGAAAATATTGTGTAATATAACCTTTATCTTATCGTGTGTATTTCCCCCAATTTTACTGTTACTTTATCCATATGGAAGGGGTACCTTACTCTTTCATTTCTGGAGGGAAAAACCCCAAAGACACCTTCCTGATTGCTAGAAATCACATATATTTTTATTGGTTCAGAAACTTGATTGAAGCTGAGTATTGTGCTAATCTGCATCTTCTTGATTTCAAAGCTCTCAGACCTTCTCACCTTCCATTGTGTGAGAAGTGCAGTATGCCAGCCTCTGGCAGGGAACTCTGATTCCAGCAACATGACCTCGTCACAGAATCTGTGGTAGAATTCAGATGTCAGCAAGATCATGCAGTAACTTTCAAGTCCTATGACTACAGTGCTGATGGACGTAGAAGAAAGAGAATTATTCAAGGAGAGCTTTTCTAAAGACTACTTTTATCATTGCCCACAAAATACACATTAAATGCATAACGTGTGTGATGTGCTAAGCCAGAGTGCTAGTTTACAAGGGCCCTTATGAAAGGACAGCCAGCAGCTGAACAAGATAACTGATTCCTAGTGGCCAATAGGCAAGCAGAAAAAAGTATAGACAATGAGAGAATGAGAAATTCCAATATCAGCAGTGATCAATATTGAGAGAGATTTTAAAATCAAGGTTAAATTTATAGACATGGACAAGAGATCCTATCCCATATAGGAATGGTTGGCATATAATAAATATGCAATACTAACTGTTCAATAAGCATTTGAAGTAATTGGAGTGATATAAGGCATATTTGGTAGAATAAAGAAACTGATTGGTTATAATAAAGCTTCTTACTGGGAATTCATGGATGGGGATGAAAGGTGCCACATTTGAGGAAGTCTTAAATGGTATGCTAAGGATAATATTCTCCATTTTTCCTAATGGGCTTTCTAAATGAATGGTGTCAGGAGTCACAGGATACCACTTTTAAACATTCTTATGACATTTTCCTTGAATTTTCCCATAAAATTTTCCACACTTTTAACCAATTAAATTATGTCCTAAGATAATGAATATTAAATGTTCATCATGCTCCTAGTAACTGTGTAGTGTAAGAATTAATGGGAAAATATGTCATTAGCTTTCCTTTTGAATTATGATGGTTTGTGCTATTGGGAAACTGGAGGAAAAATATTGTAAGCATAACAGCTCTTCTACTCATAGTAGGGTATGGACATCAGTAGAACTTGATTGGCTCAAGGACCCAGGTTTAAACTTCAGACAAATAAGACATAATTGGCAGGTACCCAGAATCAGGTACAGTTGCTGTGCTTTAAATATGTCCCCCAAATTTATGTGTTGGAAGCTAATTCCCAATGCATTAGTTTTGGGAAGTGAGCTTAACAAGAGGTGATTAGGTGTTATTACTAGAGTATTTTTTAAAAAAACTTAAATTCAGCTCCCTGTTGCTCTCTTGTCTCCTTTTTCCCTTCCTCCTTCTGCCATGGGATGATACAACAAGAGGGCCCTTACCAGATGCTAAGGCCTTGACACTGGATTTCTCAGCCACAAGAACTCTAAGAAATAAATCTCTGATTTTTATAAGTAATCCAGTCTCAGGTATTCTGTTATAGCAGTAGAAAATGGACTAGGACAGTGGTTGAAATCACAAAGGAAGAAATGTAACAAAAAAATCAAGGAAATATTACTACTAGGGCTAGCAGAATAGAGATTAAATTTCCATGCATAAACAACTAAATGGGAGAAAGAATACTCTTCTCAAAAATAATATCAGAACAGCTATAAAGCTACATGCCAAAGAATAAAGCTAACTTGTTGCCTCATAAAGTATACTAAAATTAACTCAAAATGGATCTAAGACCCAAAATATAAAAGTTATAGTAACTGTAAAATTCTTAGAAGAAAAAGGAGTAACACCTTGTGCATTTAATTTAGTGGTTTCTTACATGCAACAACCAAAATGCAAACAAACAAACAAGCACAGATACAATGGATATAATCAGAGTTAACTTGTGTGTTTCAAAGGACATCAAGAAAGTGAAAAAGCAATAGCGGGCATGACTATACATTCCTATAATCCTAGCAGATAAAAGGCTGAGGCAGGAGGGCATTCAAGGACAGTTTGGCCTATGTAGTGAGTTCAAGGGCAGCCTGAACTACATAAGAAGACCCTGTCTCAAGAAGCGTCCGAAAGAAAAAGTGTAAAAAGAATGTAAGTGTAAAAACTCAGACAATGATTTTTGTAAGCAACTTATATCTAGGTTATAAAAAGAACTCATGACTTAAATATGAAAAGGCAGTAAAGTAAATATGGGCAAATATTCTGAATAGTCATTTCTATAAAGAAGATATGCAACTGGTATAAGCTCATGAAAAAATGTTCAACATCATTAGCCATCACAGAATGCAAATCAAAACTATGAGATATCACATCATATCCAGTAGAATGACTACAATAAAAAAGAGAAATAACAGCAGGTGTTGGAAAGAATGTGGAGAAGTTAAAATGCTCATATACTGCTGGTTGGAATGTAAATGGTATTGCTACTTTGGGAAATAGTCTGGCAATTCCTCATATGGTTAAACATGGTTTTACTATATGGACTAGCAATTACACTCTTGGTTATGTACCTAGAGCAATTGAAAACAGGTCCACACGGGAATTTGTATGTGAATGTTCATAGCAATACTATTTAGAGTAGTCAAAAAGCAAAAAAATCCAGACACAAAAGGATCACATAATATATGATTCTATTTGTATGATGTGTCCACAATAGGGACATCTACAGAGGCAGAAAGCTACCTCTTTAAGATGTCAAAATCCATAACAATACCATTCTAATTGCACAATCCATAAGTTCCTGACATACAGAAATCTTGTATCATGAGAAATAATGTCAAAATTTAGTGATCAACTTTTATATACAAACTGATTTCAACTAAAAGTTCTAAATCTGCTCTCACTGAATAATTCTGTCACTTATTACTCATGATGATAAAATCAATACTTTCTCTCTCATGCCCATGATTCATTTCTAATGCCTTTATTATCATACTCTTTCAAACACTAGTGGTGTTTTTAATATACTCATAATGTCTTTGAACATTATCATCTTGTATTGGGAATTTTCAATCAAAAATTTCATAATTTTTCTTCACTGTATTAGAAGATACTTTACTACTGTTTATTTTTTATTTATTTATTTATTTATTTATTTATTTTTTTTGGTTTTTCTCCGGTACCGGGAACCGAACTCACGACCTTGCGCTTGCCAGGCAGGCGCTTTTGCCACTGAGCTAAATCCCCAGCCCTTTACTACTGTTTAAATGAAACTAGATTTAAAATATACACTTGTATGATTTTCTGATAGGAATTTAAAAATAAACAAGTCATCCAATATATTTCAAGTAGTAGTCAATTCATATATCATCTTGGGAAAACATTGATTTAGTATTTATTCAAAAGGTATATGCACATCCATGGGAAAACAGTCCACTCTACTATAACCTCTAGTGTTGAGATCTTAAATTCAGTAGCATTATTTCAAATTGATGATAGAAAGACGGATTAAATGATACGATTTTTTTCACTTTAAAACTTTCCTATGTTCCAGACCAAGAAATGAAAAATCAACACTTCATTAAAAGTGCTATTTTTCCCAAAAGTTACTAGCAACATTCCAGTAATACTGTTTTCTCTAAAAAATATTATCATAAAATATTGCAGGAACTTATGGACGGTGCAATTAGAATGGTATTGCTGTGGATTTTGATATCTTGAAGAGGTAGCTTTAAAAGGCAGCTTTATTGAGGTGCAATTGACATATAATAAACTGTTGAAACTATAGCATTTAAGTTTTGATACATGTGTAAACATCTGTGGCCATCACTACATTAAAAATATAAAACATATCTATCCCTCTCAAAAGGTCCTTCTTTTCCCATAGTGTGGTTCTTATACATCAGTAGAGTTTATATTTCTTTATGCATTCAATTCAATTTACTGACTGCCTTCTATGTTCTTGATATTAAGCTGGGTATTAAAGATTGAATGAGCAGCTGAAACACACAGGATCTGGATCTTAATAGAATTTCTGTCTCATCAGAATGATAATATCAATCTCAGAAATAAATACAAAATCAAAACTATATATCATCATCTCTAGGAAAAGTAATCTATATCTGTACATGTTGATTGATTGTACTCCAAACATTTTTGGACTTTCACACTTATATCTGGAACACCTCAAAATTCCTCATATGGTCCTTTGCAATGTATCTAAAAATGTACAGTAAACATTTTGTTTCTATTATGTTATGGCTTTTATCCTGAAAAGAATGTAATGTCTGATATATGGAAAGGGTAACCAGGAATGGAAAAATGGGATTATAATTTATTTTCCTCATATTGACAAGAAAGACAATATTGGAAATGAAACTTTCAAAAAACTATATTTTTTTTTACATTTGGTGATCTTTGAGAAAGGAAAAGTAGTAATAATGAGGTAGAAAGTATTGAGAAGGAAAACCTCAGAATTTTTATTAAAAATTGGGCACAGCATTAAAAGAGATAAACATGATTATCAAATGCAAGTTCATAATTTTATGACTTTTAATTTAGGAAGAACTCCAGATGAGATAGTTTCCTTATTAATTGAAATAAATCATAGCTTTCAGATACAAAATATTTGCCAGTTGTGTTTGAGCCCCTTGGATGATATATCCCTTTGCTCAGAGGTTCATAATTGATTGCAGTGTTTAGTAGATTTATTGGAAAATCATAATGTTGTTTTTTTCCTCTGACCCTGAAAAAATCTCAGAAAGAACATTTGTTGGAAAGAGAGATCATTTATCACTGTAGTCTTGCCAGCTTTGAACTCCAAGGAAATCTACTAAATGAAGAGTCAATACTTAATCCAGAGTTACATGTAAGTATTTGCCCAAAAGTAAAGAAGCCAGGGGGAGGGGAGACACTTTAAAGAGAAGACATATAGGAAGTGAATAGGTTTATGGAGGCTGGAGGCCTTGTGGGTAAGAGCTCAGGGAGCTAGTGCCGCAGGCAGGAGCAGAGGCCATTCCTCTCCTGCTCATCTGCTTGTCTGTGCATGACTACAAAGAGCAACTCCTTTATCCTGACTGTGTTCCTCTGTCTGGTTTATATTTGGTCTGAATTTTGATTTGGTTTTCCCTTTTCATTATCCAGAGTGCTAGACCACTGAGCTACATACCTAGCTCTTTTTTATTTTTATTTTGAGACATTGTCTCACTAAGCTGCCCAAGTGGCACTCAAATTTGCAGTTCCCCTGCCTCAGCCACCCTTGGGGCTGGGATCACAGCCGTGTGCCATCATGCTCAGCTTGGCCTGAACTGAAAATTGATCTGAGCCAGTACATTAGAGTTGCTTTCCTTCTGTTTCTGAGTACCTGGTATTAGGTCCCCAGCCTGCCTCCAGGGCCTCAGAAGCCAGACATTCTCTACTTGAAGCAGCTGTAATCTGTTGCCAGAAACACCCTTCAGAGTTTCCCTAGCCCACTGATTTAAGCCTGTGCATAACCCAGGTTCCTTTTGGATTGTTCTTGATTTAGGAATGACTGCGCAGAAGGCAAAAAGAAACCTGTAGGTTGAAAAACACGAAGAAAAATATGTGAAGTACACAGGAACCAGCTTATGGAGGACCCTGCAAACTGCAAAGGTAATAGCAGTGAGTGCACAGAGGGAAGGCGAATCACTGTAGGCTCCGAAACTGGATGCTTTACGAGATTCTTGTGTTGCTAAGCGAGTGGAGCATGGATTAGAGATAAAGAGAGTAGGTTGAGGATTACAAGGAGCTCTTCAATTATCAGAACTAATAGTGATCTCAAAAGTTAAGCACAAATGTTATATGAGGGAATTTTTAAGAGGATCACTGAGACTACAGAGTAAGGACAAACGTCCGTTTATCTGTAGAAAAAACAGGTAATCGTTCTTTTGTAGTTATAGGTATAAGTAGAGATACAGATTTACCTATATTTGAACTTTTTGATGTTGGAATTATTCCTCTGAATCAGAAATTCTGATATTCAAGGAAAGGAGGTCACTTTTTTTACTTTCTTTGAAAGATGATCAATGTTATGTTTGAACAATGTTTAATCATTGGAAGTGCTTTGTCTTTAATGTTACTAGAGGTTTTCGGTAGTCTAAGAAAATTATGACTAGTTGTATGATTGGTATCCACCCTGACTTAACAGAAAAAGCTAGGATCAGAAGACCTGAGTTTGTACCTCAATTCTGGTAGTTTTTAGTTGTCCTATTTTAGGAATAACATTTTAAAAAACCCTTCTGAACTTCAGATTTGCTTAGTGAGGTAACTCGTAGGATTTACAATCAAACTGGCAAATTCCAGCCCACTTAGTATCTCTACACAACTTCTCCATGGATCAGATTCTGCGTTTATACAAGAGTAATTACAATGGCTATTGTCATGGTTTGTGTCTAGGTGTCCCCCCAAAGCCTTATGCAGTCATGGGGTGGGCTTCTAGAGCTTATGAGTGATTCATGGTCTGTGGGTGTGAGTGCTACACACACCCTGGGGAAGGTAGCCTGCATACAATATAAGCAAGGGAAAAGTCTTGCTCTTGTGCTCTTCCCTTTTTGCTGTTGCTGCTTTTGCTGTTTCCCCACCACCATGAACTGTTGCCCTCTGCCATGTGCCACCCTGCCTTGGAGCCAGCTGAGTATGGATTGAAACCTCCACAAAACGTGAGCTAAATAAACCCTTCCTTCCTTAATTCTGGGCATCAGATATTTTGTCCCAGCAACAAGAGAAAAGTAACCAAGACAGCTTTCTAATAGGAATATTCAGAGAGTATGAAATAGTTTACTGCAATGTATGAAACAAATTTTAGCTGCAATTCTTATTTTCATTTAATACATCTAACATCTATTTTTAGCTTTTTTTTACATAAAGTTACATAAATTATTTTAGGTAGTAAAGGCATTTTCCTTAAAAATTTCATCATTGACATACTTTAATAGTAGGTTTATGTAACTTATAATTTTAAGACAAATGGCATGAATTCTGGATACATAATTTTATTTTTAAAATTTTTTTATTTTTAAATTTTTTTGTGTGTTTTTGAGAAAGGGTCTCACTGTGTAGTTTAGGCTGGCCTTGAGCTCACTTTGTAGCCCAGGCTGGCCTCCAACTCACTATGATCTTCCTGCCTCAGCCTCCCTAGTGCTGGAATTACAGGCGTATACCACCACACCTGGCTTGGATACCTACTTTTAAAGCAATACTCTATTGATTTCAAGAGAGTTGTGGGAAGAGTGCTCATTAGTATTACTTACTAAAATATTAAAACAAATGTCATTTAGCACAAAGTTCAACTGCACATATAGAAACCTCAAATAACTATGATGTAAACAAGGTGGAGGTTTATTTCTTAGTCATAGAAAAGAAGTCTTGAGTTAGGCTCAAAACTGTCCTCAGAGATCCAGAATCTTCCCTTTCTGCTCTGTGATGCTACCTCGTCACTTCCTTCCTCAAAGTTACCTCATGATCTTAGCTGACTTCTGTTGTGACAGCCATCATACCCACATTGGAAAATAGTGAAAGCAATAAAGATATAAGGATAGAAGCACTTTGGGTCAGCATCTGTTTTACACATCTATTCCTAAAGTCTATATAAAGTTATATTCACATTTCATAGGCTTGTCACATGACCACATATAGCTAAAAAGGAGGATAGAAAGCCAGGCATGGTGGTGCACGCCTGCAATCCCAGCACTCAGGAGGCTGAGGCAAGAGGATCCTTGTGAGTTTGAGGCCAGCCTGGGCTACATAGTGAGTTCAAGGTCAGTCTGAGCTAAACAGCAAGATTTTGTCTCAAGAAAAAACAAAGGATAGAAAATACAGGATTTTTATGCAGTCAACAAAGTGTTTACAGAAAGTTTGGGGTTCTGATATCAACAAGGAAGAAGAGAATGGATTTTCATGTAGGTAGCCAATATTTGCTGCTATAATTTATAATAAATCTTAGAAGTCATTCTCAGGATTGCATTATGTAAATCTTGGAATTGTTCATGGTCATTGTAATAAATCTGTGTTTTATTCCAGTTGTGTTTTAAGTATTTATATAAAAAAGAAAAAAGTATGTTTCATCTTGAAAGCAGGCTAGATGAGACAGATTTTTAAGCTGCTAGGGCTTAGCAAAAATTTATCAGTGCTAATTGAATACAGGATTAAATTAGCAACTTTAGAAAATAGAGGCAGAAATTAATTTCAGGTGGTCATCTGTTTAAATTACTTCCTGTTTCAAAAGAAATAGAATCTTGGGCGGGGGGGATGAACGAGAAACTTACAAAACAGTAAATGAAGCCAAATCAGAAAGATCGGGGCTGGGGATTTAGCTCAGCGGCACAGCGCCTTCCTGGCAACTGCAAGGTCGTGAGTTTGATTCCTGTTGCCAGAAGAAAACCAAAAAAAAAAAACCAAACAAATCAGAAAGATCTGATCTTTTAGTTTTTTCTCTGTTTCCATCCAGAGCGGCAATAAGCAGAGATTTCAGAGAAGAGAGGCTATGCAACATTGGGGAAATATTGGCTTCTCATCACCCCGGACTGCTCTGTGAAGGGAATGCTCCTGGAATAAACACCCGAAGCTACAGTGGCAATCTTGTCTCAGGGGTTTTCTGTGTTCTTAAGGATGTTGTATTGGTCAGCTTTTGTTACTGTAGCAAGAAATCTGAGACAGCTAACCTATAAAGAAAGAAAGCTTATTTTAACTCACAGTTTTGAAGCTCTTGGTCCATGACCGAGCGCCCCATTGCCTGTGGGATTATGGTAAGGCAACATATTACGGTAGGGAGCCCATGGTAGAGGAAAGCTATCTTCATGACAGCTGAGACGCAAAACATAGAGAGGAAGGACCTGGAGTGTCACTGTCTCCTGTGAGGATGCTTCTTCTTGAAGCCCTGCCCGGTGAAGTTTCCACCACCTCCAGCAGCAGCACGGAGTGGTGCCCAAGTGTTTAACATACGACATTTTGTGCAAACCACAGCTTTTGGATCCTGAAGATTATCCAAAAATTATTTTCAAAAACCAACATTCGATTTCCATGTAAAAACATAGTTTCTTAAGCTTTGAAATGTAATTTAATCATTTTATCCTACTTTCAAATATAGCAAATTTTCAAGGTAAAAGTATGCCATGTACAGAAACCTAACAACTTTAGTGAATGTAAATATTGTATGCCAACGAAACTGCATGGGAAATACTTCAAAGAATCAACAACTGGGATGGCATCTTATTGAAAAGTTTTTGCACATCTAAAGAAACCACCAATAAAGTAAAAAGAAAACCTACAAATTGGGAAAAAATTTCCGCGAACTGCCCCTCAGACAAAGGACTTCTATGTAGGACATATAAAGAATTTAAAAAAATCAGGCCCCCCAAATTCAAAGACCCAATACACAAATGGGCATCTGAGATGAATACACACTTCTCTAATGAAGAGATACTAATGCTGAATAAATACATGAGAAAATGTTGAGCGTCATTAGTCATTCAAGAAATGCAAATTAAAACAAGACTGAGATTCCACCTCACCCCAGAAAGAATGGCTATCATCAAGAAATCAACCAATAACAAATGCTAGAGAGGCTGTGGGGAGAAAGGAACCTGTAGTGGATTGATAACTGGTGGTCAGCTTATAACCCCCAGCTGAACTGAGTAAGTGTGGTGCTGGGTGTGGGAGGTCCACCTGAGGACTGTTGCCAACAGCATAAAGGCAGACCTGGAGAAGAAGAAGGAGGCTGTTGGGAGCTGAGAGAGGCCTTGGGGAGCTGGCTTTCCTGATGAACTTGGCTGTTTTCATCCTCCGAGGAGCTCAGGACCTTGCTGGCACTGAGAATGGCTTTGGTTCACTTTGGGGAGCTCTGGTCCTCACTTTGAGCATCGCTTCCTGGTTCTGGAGGGGAAGATGGTGCACTGCCAGCCTCCAGGGAAAGCTTGCTGCATTGTCTTCCCTGACGGGAACTCGGCCACTCTGATCATCAGAGGAGCTTGGGACCTCACTGTTGCCGACGATGGCTGTGGTACCTTTTGGGGGAGCTCTGGTTCTTCTGAGCATCACTTCCTGGCTCCAGTGCAGATCCCTCAGCCTGCTAGCACAGGTCCTTCATCCTGCTGGCACAGACTTTGTAGATTCCACCACTGACCTTTGGGCCTTCCCAGAAGATCCATGAAACAGGTCTGCATGAGACGATGTCATGGGCTCTGGGCCTCCAGTTGGATTCATGGGAGGCATTGTTATGAGCTCTGGGTATTCAGCTCGACTCATGTAGGACATTGTTGTGGGATCCAGGCCTCAGCTGGATTCCTTGGTTTTAGTGTGTGGACAGATTTCCTGCACTCTTTTGTATACTGTTATTTGGGCGACTTATAAATAATCATATAAAGTATGTGTCCTGTATTATGTTGTTCTCCTTGCAAAATAAGCCCCAAACCAACACAGAATTGGTACCAGGAGTGGGGCTATTGTGATACTGCCTGGCCATGTGACTTAAGAACCTTTGGAATTAATTCTGAAAAGTTTTGAGAGACTGGCCAAAGAGGCAAGCCTGTATGCTGCAAACTATATTGGAGACTCTGATTGGAGCCTGGAAAGTCAGAGTACTGATGGAAATGCTGCCAATTGAGATGAAGCTCAGGAGGCTTCAATTGAGAAGGACTACACTGGCTGCTGGATCCCAGGTAATATATTGTGCTTTGGCAGAAGTTGGTCTGCATTTTGCTTGTGTTTAGAAATATTGCCTGGTTGGAGAAACAAAATTGCAATGTAGTCTATTTGTTGGGATGGTAGCATGTCTACTGTTGAGAGCTTTTGGCCAGATTTATGTTTGAAATTAAGAGCAAAAGCCAGTAATGTGATATGTAACATTTGGCCAGAGGGGTGGCGCTAATGGAGCTTTGATTTGCAAGGATGAAATAGAGGAAAACATGACAGCTAAGAACAGGACAATGAAAACATGAACTGAAATCTTTCACCCAAAGATAAGAGTGTATTTCAACTGCAGGAAATCCCCATTTTTTAGTCTTGCCATGCACTGTAAAAATTAACAGAATGTAAGGACTGATTGTAAGTTTTTTTAATGTTGTTTTTAGATATATGTTTGTAATCGGGTTAATTAAGCAAAGTATTGTGCTTTAACCCTAAATTTTGGTCACCCTTGAATATTTTGTTTTTGGTGCAGGAATGAGTGCAAAAAATATTCTATATATGTAACATATTAATGTAAATGTGAATAGATTAAGATATGTTAACTTTTTTACAAATGTGCCACTAGACACTATGGAATAAGGAAATGTGTATGGTTATTAAGTTGACCAGGGGTGGATTGTAGTGGATTGATAGCTGGTGAGAACCCTACTCCACTGCTGGTGGGAGTGTAGACTGGTGAAACCACTGTGGAAATCAATTTGGAGATTCCTTACAAAACTAGGATTGGAAGTTCCATTTAACCCAGCTATTCCTGTTTTGGGTATTTTCCCAGAAGAAGTAAAGTCATCATACCACAGCAATATATGTGCACCCATGTTTATAGCACCACAATTTGTTATAGCTAAATCCTGGAAACAACCCAGATGCCCATCCACTGAGGAATGAATGAAAAAGATGTGGTGTTTTTATACAAAGGAGTATTACTCAGCTATTAAAAAAGATAAACTCGAGGCTTTTGTAGGTAAATGGATGCAACTAGAGACCATACTCATAAGTGAAATAAATCAGACCCACATGTATAAACATCATATTTATTTCCTTGGTGTAGGAACCTGAAAGACTAGGTAAAACTCAAAACGTAGAATTGATGATAGGAAAGGGAAAGAAATTACTCAAAGGAGGGAATGACTGGGATGAGGGAAAGAAGAAAAAAGAGAGAAGGAAGGCAAAATATAAAAATATATATGAATAGCTGCAATGATTGTATTGCTGATGTCTGGTGGTGTATTGAAATGAACAGTTAATGCTCACAATTTTTTATGTTCTGATTGACTTTGCATGCTTGTGTCTGGTGGTCTGAGCAACTGATTTGAAGGTAGCAATATGCAATAGAATTACAGTGGTGAACTCCTACCATCTTGTCTAGTGAAACTGTATTATCTCTACCATTTTATCAAATAATTATTTTCTTATTCTCTTTAATGGTTTGAGCAATCTTTCGTTATTACATCTGATAATCTGAGCAATGTAGTTGAGGACAGCAATATGCAATGTAACAACCACTGTTGATTCGTATTAATTTGTCTTGAGACCCTGTATCACTTTGAATGTTCTTGCTCTGATTTGTTTATGTTTGTGATACTAGTATGCTGCTACTGTTCTACTTTTTTGTTTGTTTCTCATTTACTACTGTCTTTAAAATAAAAAAAAATTATATGCCATAAACATGAGCTAAGAGTAATAATATCAACAAGAATGAAAAGTAGCATAGGGAATTCAGAGGGCGAGTGAGGGCGTAAGGAGGGAAGGGGAGGAGATAAGAAAGAAACAAGCTGGGTACCAGTGTGTACAGGTACTCACTCCCCAAGATGGCTATAAACTGCATGAAGCGCAAACATGTACTAATAAAATAAAAAAGTAAGTTAAAAGATACTGCGTCTGTTTTACCATGTACAGACTTCTTGTTTTTTGCCATGATTCCTTAAATAATACAACAGCTATTTACACAGCCTTTACATTGTGTTAGGCATTAAAGTCATCTCGAAATGTTATAGGAGGACATGTGTGATGTGTACAGGAAGATATGTGAGTTGTATGAAAATACTACACCATTTTATCTCAGGAGCTTGAGCATCTACACATTTTGGTACCTGCTGGGGACATCTTGGAACCAATTCCTCACAGACACTGAGGGAGGACTGTAGTTCCTTTAGTGACAGCTGGCTGGATTCTGTTTATCTCTCAATGTTTTTTCCAGCTGGTGTCTTTTAGTAAGGTTGTCACATAGTGGAGGAACGATGGTGGTGGCAACTGCAATGGAAATGCAGGGCAAAATGAAGAGATCCCAGGAGGGGAGGTGTTAAAGCTGGCATAGATTTTAGGAAGTGGAAACGCAGAGGTCAGGTGGAACTTGACAGGGCCAAACTCTTACTCCGTCTTGTCAGCCCCACATTCTCTGGCAGTTCTTATGAGTAGAGGCTGTGCTTTCCTGTGGCAGCCCTGTGGGTATCCTCAACCTAAAATATTTACCTTGACTGAAATATAAACATCCAAAATTTCAGAGCATTCTGTGGATTTTTTGTTGGCAACAATGTGGCAAGCAAGGACACACAATTCTGTTGTTTTAAAAGATGGGTATTAGCCAGACATAGTGGTGCACAACTGTAACCCTAGTACTTGGGAGGCTGAGGCAGGAGGATCACTGTGAGTTCAACCTTTTCTTACCAAGCCCAATTCTGTGATTAGGACAATGGAAGATGAATATAAGGGTCAGCCGTAGTTGGAATGGACATTAGTTATGAAATGTGCTGTTTTCTTGCTGAATGAGGGACTGAGTTAAGATTATTCAATTTTTAGGGAACTATATCCTCTTCAGTTATAAGTTTATTCTGTACTGTCCTGAATATTAATTGTATGTACGTGTGCAAGGGAAGATAGATATACCATTTTGATACAGTGTCTATTTACTGACAAAGCAGAAAGAACGGGGAGACCTATCTTTGCCTTGTACCAATGGAAGGACCTTCTATCAGGCGGATCCTTAAATTAGTGCCATCACCTCCTCCCTAGACCTCCCTCTGTTTATTTCATTCTAGATTAAATTACTCAGTCTGGGAGAAATAGATTCCTGAGTGCAATGTATTGAACTGGTCTCCAGGAGGAGAGAGTTTCCTTGAGTTGAAATGAAAGTTGACACTGAGGAGTTTTGAGGGTTTAGGGGAAAAAGAATGGAGAATAAGACAGTACAGTGTAGTACATCCTCACAGAGATTCCTTGGAAGGAGCTAAGCTATCTTTCTCCCTTTCCCTTGAACTATAGGAATATCATAATTGTGCATTATAATTTTAAAAATATTTACGTACTTTCAAACTTATAGTAAAGTTGCTTGATTCCTACAAAAACATTTTTGCTTCATTTGTTTGGTTTCTCTGTCTCTGTATTTTGTCTTCAGCATCCTGGGAGACTAAGTTGCTGATACGAAGCTTCTGCTTTACAAATATATTTGGAAAAGAATTTTTCTTTTTTTCCCCAAACTACTGTTTACTTGTCCTCTTGGTTGTTCCTACCTTTGCTAG